AGGTAATAAAGCACTTGAGTAATCGAAGCACTTTGGTAATTTTGATAAAACTGACTAGAAAATATGGTTTTATATTATGTGATAAATTTTGGTTGTTGGAAAATTTGGTAAATGTGGTAAAATCTGGTATTTTTATTATGAAACCTTAGAATATGTCATACAAACCATTTATTCAGTTCGATTTACTTTTCAGTTGGGTATATTTTTACTAAGTGCGAGGTAATAAAAACTGTAATTTTAAAAACCAGAATTTCCATTAAACCGTTACCATATGAACCGAAAAATTACCAAACGAATAGTTTCAATACCTTATTGTTTGGTTTATTCCTTAATAATTGCCTTGACCTATCACGTGATCAAATTTGATTAAACTTTAATTAAAATCCTCCATTCGGAAACTGGTGGCCAAGTAAATATTTTTAGGTATTTGTAACTGCTAATAAAAATTTAGCAGTTTAAACGTAACATTCATAGATTTAAGCATTTTCTAAGGGAAAATCACAAAGAGAAGTTAAAATTTTACGCTCCCATCATAATAATAACTAGCACTTAATCCTGACAAGCACAATCATAGTATTTTGATTTAATCTCGCAAAAATAAATTGCATGGAAATGCTAGTTTTTAACCATAAGACGGTTACTGTACCGCGAGATCTTCTCCCGGCGGCTATCTGCTGTTACAGAAGTAAAACCGTTTCTTATGAAAAAGTAATGTGACTTATCTTCGTAACCATCAACACGCGAATGTGTGGAGGAATTTTGTGTGACAGTACCTCTTAAATTGGAAAACATATCATCAACATAGAATTTGATTATTTGAAAAAAATGTCCAATAGTAATTTTCCATGTATAAATATATTTTTCATATATATAATTAACCCTCGAACGCAGATTTTCAAAGTGCTTCCTTTAAAAAAAACTGTTGTTAAATTAAGAAATTAGCGCACGAATATGTTCTAACAAGGATTTGAAGTTTCTAAGGAGTAAACTTTTAACGCAGGAACCTTTGGAGAGATATTTGAATACGTGTAAATTAAATTCGAACGTTTATAACATCTTTAAGAAAACTTGCTACCAGTTTGTTAAAATTTTAAAAGCCTTTATAGGAGTACGCCTGAGGGTTAAAATTATTGGAAAAAATCAGTCAATTCTCATTATCCTTTTCTTTTCTTTTTTTTTTTTTTTTTGTAAATAAGCCCCAAGATTATGCTAACGAAAAAAAATCAATAATATATTTTATTTTACTTATAGTAGTGACTAATTTATATAATATATAAATTTATTCAAAATTTTCTTTGTAAAATGACTCAATATGAAAGTAGAAATGAAAAAAAGAAATTAACATAATTGATACTTTTAATAACTATTTTTTGCACTCAAATATAACTTCTTGAGCTATTTGTGTAACTTAAAATAATTGTTTTTAAATACTACCCAAAGCATAATGTTTGATAAATAAAGGAAAATTAAAAAATAAATCTTGCGTTAGCAAGTTTATATCAAAAACTTCAATTAAAAAACCCTCAGATAGGATGTAAGAAAATTCATTAAAACAATTTGGCAGGTTTTCTGATTCTGCCTAAAGCAGAATTACATTCTTGAATTTTAAGCAATTAAAAGTATTTTATACTTCATTTTAAAACCTTTTATGTGCTGAAAAACGACACATTTAAAAGTTAAGTAAAAATTGGACTTGTAGAATAATAGGTTTTAGCGGAATTTTTAAACTGAATAAGTGGACGTTTTTAATATTTTTAAGAAAAAGTATTTTACAACAACATATTTTTTACTAATAACATCGCTGCTCAATGAATTGTTGTAACATTCGCGTCATTTAAAATAAAATATGATTTTTCACAAATTAATGAGATAATCATTATGCTATACAGTCAAAAAAATTTACGTCTTAAAATGTGTAACGTGCAATTAAGGGTTAAGAGATATACTTTATGACAAAAACAACCTACCTTTTTTTAACCACTTTTTTTTTTTTGAAAAATTGCTCAAACAGATTTTACTCTATTATTTTGTAAAAAGTTTTCCTACGATACATAAGGCTGATGTAGGAGGCTTTATCATTTTTCTACACTGATAAGTCCAATTTCTACAATTATAGAGAAAGAAATCTGTGTATTTTTAAGGATCTTTTAAAGAGTAATTGTATAGGTAATAATTTTGTTTTGATTTTAGAAATCTCCTATATAAATTATTATTATATATATTAGTCTAAAATATTTACCGATAATAGAGTTTAGAATTTCATTTTTTTAAAAACATATTTAAATTTATTTACATTTACAATCCACTTAGACGGAATTAATTATGCGAATAATTGTACATTAAATAACAAACGAAAATTAGATAAACGGTATGAATATACTAAAATAATTGAAATATGGATACATCCACTTTAGGATGACTCTATCAAATTGAACAAAAAGCATGAAACAAATAGCAAAGAATAAAGTAGAAAGAACAAAATATCAAAGTACAAAATAGTAAAGAATAAGAATAAATGAAAAGAGTATACAAAAATAAGATAATAACACGAATTCAGCAAAACATTCATAGATTAACAAACAATATTTTAAGAAAATATAATTAGAGGGTTACAATATTTAAGACGATCTCTAATTCAAGTTGTCTTGCTCAGAGCTCCAACAACGCATTTCAGTAAGCAGTTTTAATTCCACGAAATTGTTTATGAGCTTCATATCGACTGTGAAATATCGATAGTCATTAAACATTGCGATAACGATATTTAAAAAAGTATTCCTACACTATATCGAGAACCTTATATCCTCCAATAAATATCTTCAGTATACATTAACTATCGAATACGATGATTCTATCGCTAATGATAAATATCTAATAACGTGATTATCATTGATTAGAATTTTTATTGGATAAGATTTTATCGTATTTGTTGATACATTTCATTTGGCGTATGAAAATATGAATCATGGGAAAATTAATGTAAATTCGTTGAAATGTAAAAATATCTCGAAGTATCACCAAATGTCGATATTTCATGACGATGTTCATAGAAACTGCCTAACGAGGCCTGCTTCCAAACGCAAATCTTTATTTAAATCCAATAATAGTTACGAAAAAAAAGAGTTAAATTAATAATTTTTAGGTATACTGTTTCTAAAATATCTAATCTCTCATTGCACAGCAGACAAAAAAAAAGGGAACACTGTAACTAAAATAATTTTTGCATGAATGGCATTTAAAAATGAAAAGTTATTATTTTGATTAATTATTTAATTTATTATATCTGAGCAAGACAACGGTGATGGTAATGTACCAAAACAATTTTAAAATGAGCAAAGAATATACCTTTTACATGGCCATCAAAAAAGCATTATGCACTCTTACATTTTGTGCGCGTTTTGTACAAGATTTGTTTAATTTAATTTCTTAATCAAAAATTATTACTATGCAACTAGAATTTGTAAAATTCAAGGTGCTGTCTTTTAAAGTTTATGTCTAACAAAAAAAATTTACATTAGGTATAACATAAAAATAGAGCATTGAAAACAAAACAGGAACCTAAAGTTCATAAAAAGTTGAATTCTATTTTGTAGTATAATCTAAAATAGATATGCATATTATAAGATAAAAATAAAGCACATATTTTCGAGTCATTTCAGGCATTTAAAAAATTCTGGATCAAATTGCGTTTTTTTCTTCGCCTTAAAGCAATTGCGTGATATTGAGAGCAGTGTAACAATAAATAAAACATTTAATAGTATCCCTCAATTAACAAATTTTTTAGTTTCTTGTTAACTATTTTAGATATAAAAGCCAAAATTTTAGTTTTTAAGTACTTTCTAATAATGATAAAAAAAGTTTATTAAAATTTTAATGTAGTTTGTGTTTGTAACATCAGTCATAAAATCTTTTTCTCCGTTTGTCACTTTCTATGTGTCATTTCTTATTTATTTAAAGTTTTCTTTCTTTTAAATAAATTTAAAAAATAATCCCATTATTGTAACGTCAGTCACCATTGAATTTCCCTATACCGTAATTTTTACAGTAATATTTACTGTAAAAAAACATTGAATCACTGTAATTAAATAAATAGTACTGTAACAATTACGATATAAAATTTTACGATAAGGATGGATTTTATGGTAAAATGTAATTTACAGTTGATGTACTCATGTTGCCAGTATTTTTTTATCGTAATTTGATCCGGAAGTGTTTGCAGTGCAATATCGTCAAAGTTTTCGATTTACAAATGTTTTGGAAGTTTTTTATTTTGATAACTTTGGAGTCAGGACTAGATATACTAATATCATACAAATCTTTAAAGAGATACATTTTAAAATTTAAAAACAATGCCTCGAGTTTTTGTAAACCTGAGACTTCTCTTTTTTAAAGCTTTCTATTATAATAAAGAACTGCACAACTGCAGATCATACACAACCCATTAGAATTTTATGAATTAAAAATTCCTATTCATCATACTATTTTATTGCCATTTTAATTAATAAATAATAGTATTCTATATAAACCCAGCCATCACGATGCCCAAAAGAATCGAAGTTTTGAGTAAAATTTTACTTAAAATGATCACTTTCCATTCTATAATGTGCTATGTAAATATAATGATTATTTAGAGTACCAAATTTTTGGAGTATAGTCGTGAGGAGTATTTATAAATAGTAAACAAATAAAACATGGTATTTATTATCAAATTTACTGACTAAATAGAAATTCAATTCAGAATGTTATCTAAATAGAATTTTAGACATATTTTCTAGAATACGAAAAATAATTTAAGCAATAAAGCTATACTTTTACTGACGATTCAAAAACTTGTATGCATCTGTAAATATTTTGACTATTTCAATATCATATTCTGATACCTTTAGTATTTCAACCTGAAAGAAAGGTATTCTAAAACAAATATTTTTAAAAATGAAAAAAAGTATTCTGAAATATAATTCGAAACCCTTCGAAACCGTAATCTATACAACAGAAAAAGGAAGTAAATTTTGGTCGAAATTTATTATGAATAAAAGGGAAGTTGCGTTCAAGAAGTTTATAACTGAAATGGATAATGAATGATTGTCATTAACATTAAATATATATAAAACTAACTTAATATTGAAACATTCAATGAATGCTTAAAATATTGAAAATATCAAGTTATAAGATAATAATAATATTTTAAATAAAACTTTAGAGAAAAATAATCTAATACCACTTACAGAGTTTCATATAAAAGGCATTTTTTTCAGCATTTCATTCGGAATGTATGAAATAAAAATTAGTATCAAAACCGATAAGGTATTCTTAAAAAAATTTCTGAGATGTATGCATATTTAAATAATTCAAAATATTTGTACTTAATGCGAGACAAAAGGTAATAAATTAATTGTCACAACGAAAAGGTGTACATTCTGAGAAATTATAAAATTAGAATAAATTATGGGTACATTATGACATAATAAATTTATTATTAAATGAAATTTTTGAATATTATCCGAAATTTTTTTGAATCGAAATCATTATTTATGTAATTACAGGAAATTAACTATTACTAGTATAATGTATCGAAATAAATTAAGTATCAGGCATAAATTATAAATTATAGTAAATCTCGTATTAAGTATATAAATTATTAAACGTTTATAAATAAGAGCAAAATATATATAAAAAAATAGATTTTTAATAAAATTAAAAATTTAAAGTGAAATTAATGTGTGTAATACTAGTTATTATTTTGCAATAAACAGTTATATTACTAGAGATAAATTACATTACGGAATGAGTTTTAAAATTGTTTTTTTTTTTTTTTTTTTTTTTTTTTTTTTTCCTCACACATCTAGATCTACAAAATTCTTAAACATCTGGCACTGAAAAAATCAGAAACTCTGGTCATTCAAAACTAGGATGAATACTTTTTGATTGTTTCAATCATTTAATATACAACCCAGAAAAAAAACTTTCTAAATCATTTAATTATATTAGTACATTATTAAGTGTTTATAGACTACAAAATGAATTAGTGTCATATCATTTGTAAGCAAAATTATGCAAATTTAATATTTCGTAGAAAAGTCTTTAAAAAAGAGCTTAAGTATTCAAACTAATAAACATAAACAATTAAAATTTTAAAGAAAACCACGAGCATCAAATGAACAGTAGACAGTTCCAACAACATACAACCATAATATATACAATACATCGCTTTCCAAAGTGATGCGAGAACTGAAAGTGACCGTTCCAGCCAACAGTGAATATATGTATAGTTTAAAAATACTTGCTCTCTTGCATCTAACAGAAAAAAGATTGTTAAAAAATAATTGAAATTTGTGACATATTCTTTTTTCTTGTAAGGATAGCACAATTTTCAAATTTGTTTCCCATATAGGTTATTCGTTTGCATCATACACCATATACTTAGTCTGGAAAAAAAGAATGTGCTACGCGGCCTGAGGCGGGTTAGTAATTCTATTCTTGCCCAAGAACTTTGAATACAGATTAAAGTTAGCATTGCTTCTTAGTGGGTAATATATATTCGAAATTCGCATTTTGTACATATCAGAAATATTTTTTTTAAAAAAAGAAAGAACTACGCCAATAGGCGAGTTTGGTCTGGCAATCGCGCCAGGCAGTTTATCTTGAAAGCTTTTACTATGGATCAGTAAGAACGCATATATGCACAGGCATTAATCCTTCAATCTAATTGGAGGAACGATTCTCTATCGGATTGGGTTACATGACGTCTTCTGAAATGAAAACTTCAAAGTAGTTTTGATGGGTCGATGCCTTTTCGATCTCAACTGATTGGTCAGTTGGAGAATAAATAAAATACATACGTGGAATGCAGTGTTAGTGGAATGTTTTCAACGTAGGAAGTAACATTTCTGATCATTTTAATTGCTAAGCTTTGTATGGAAATATCAGTATGTTTAAATCACTCATAAATTTAGCTGTGTTTGAAAGTAAATCCGCGTTTATTTATAGGCAATTCAAAATAGCTATTCTCTTTAAACTAGATGCCGTGTATGTATTAATTAATTGAATGGCTATTGTATGAAGATAGATTTTTCTTGAAAGACAATTTTTTACTTTGAGAATGCTTCTCAGAAGCTATTGCGCAGTCTTTTTTTTTCTTTCAGAATATATATTCCTTTGGCGAGAGGTTTACTGAGTGATTGCTTGCTAGTCGGAAGAAAAAAAAGAAAACTATAACGAAAAATGCTTTCGATATTATTTTGAGCAGAAAGGTGATGAAAAGAAGTTCTTGATGTATTATGATGTCGCACCCGTAAAGACTAGCTCGGATATGCTGCAGAAAATTTCTCTTTCAGTAGATAAGTTCGTTCTACATGAAGAAGAATAGATGAAGATAAACATATAAAATGTTAAATATCCTTAATATTTAACATTGAGACACGAGCGAATAATTTTTCCCCCCCGAAAGCTTACCAAACATCAAACAAGATCCATGCAGTGCTTTATGATGTGTATATATATGTGTGTGTGTCTGTACACATTGATACCTATCTATATACAGATGCATAGATAGATGTAAATAGATAGACGTCCTATAGCTGTACGCCTCTGAATGTCACGGGGACGTTCTACGGCGAAAAGTCTGCTTTGCAAAAGTAGCATAGTAGCCATGGTCATCCGACAGAGATGGATGTCTTGCGGGTGGGCGGAGTGGGGGGCGACAGCTGTGCCAACCGCCTATACATCGGGGAACACAAAAATCGAGGATAAGAGTCCCTGTGCATCAGGGTATAGATTTGGAACTGAGCTTCATCAAAGGTATCGGTAGTGGGTTGCTTCATGTTTTTGTTCACTATTTCTCTCACTTTTGAATCCAAACTGACCTAAAAAGAAGATTATAAAGCTTACTATATTAATAACGATATGTGAACTTAATTTCGCTAAAGCATACTAACAGATTTGTTTTGATTGACATGAATTTTAATTAAGAATCTAATATATAGTTGTAGTTCTTTATTGACTTCGTACTAAAACTGCACAGTGGAACATCCATGAGGATGATTCGAAAACAAGCCATTCCAATTTGGATCCTCAGCAGATAGAATGGCTTCCCCACTTTGGTAGAACGATGACCGGCGCGTGAAGGGGCACTTTACGATAGAATAGCTTAACAAAAACCGATACCGCTCACCGTCGGTCCCTACGCAGGCTGAGCAAAGGGGGGTCATCTACCGACTCACTGACCGCATCCAATGCCGCTTGACTTCGATGTTCTTATGAGAACAGCGTCCTTGTGATTAGTCTATTACGGGACTAAAAAGCTTACAATGTAGGAAAAAATGCTAAGTAGCATTGTAGTAATATATAATAAGAAGTATCAGCTATGGAGTGAAGAGAAACTTTAAAAAAAATGCTTGAATTTTTTTGCTGTATTGAATTTGGAACTGAGCAATTTTCATTCAATAATTTTATTGAATTTGATGATTTTTTGGCATTTTTAGAATTTTAACTATAATTTTAATAAATCAAATTTATTAAAAAAAGAATCAAATAATAATCCTCAAATAATAAACTCGAAATACTTTGAATAGAAAATTATACACGCATAAGCTACTTTTTGATTTATATAATTTTTTTTTTTTAGTTTTAATTAGCATTTATTCGACTATTCCTAAGTTCGAGCAATATTAAAATGCAGGGCTAAAGAGAATAGAAGGACTAGTTCACTCCGCTCTTAGAGCTGAAGCTACGATTTCCCTCCTCATGACGTCACTGTGTCCACAGATCTCGGAGATCGCTAGCAACGATATTATGATAACTTTGCATCTTTCTCTTTGTAAAAATAAGTTAGACATTTCCTGGTTATTAGCTTTCAAACTTTACGTAATTAACACTTTATTTCCGTTTATAAACATAGTTCAAAAAAACTTTCTTGGCCATTATATTAAAAAAATACCATTTTAAACTTATAAAAATATTTTACTAGTTGGCGAAAATGACACTATAAATACTTTATTTTAAAAAGTTCTGTTTTAACTTTAAT